CCAACTAGTAGGCCCATAAGCACAAAATCTCAAAATCGAGTTTTTGCCCGGACACTGCCTTCAAGAGGGTTTATATAGGAAGTTTTATTGATTGACTAGACTGAAAAGCTCCAAAGTGTTGAATAACAATCTCGCTTTGGCTAAAAGCTCTTATTTGCTAGATCGTTTTTATGCAGCTCTAAGTGTTTATTTTATAGATGGTCTTCCTCTTTCTTCCATATAATTATCTTGGTTGAAAATTCGATTTGTAATTCTATGCGTCTAATGGCATTCAATCATTTCCCTTGCAGCGATCGCATTTGTGCTACTAGAAATACGTACTACTTACTTCATCTCCAGGCAGTGTCATGCTATAATCATGGATCACTTAGCAACATGATATCTATCTGTTTCCAACTGTGCGTGCGATTTGTGTCTTAAGATTGGGCGCTTGAATTGGTATCACGTGCGCGGCTTTTATTTTAGGTAATATGACTTTCGGGAAAATTGATTTCAGAAAATCGACGATTGAGTGTGTTTCCTGAAAGTGCGTGCCTTGTTACATACTTTTATAATGTCGACAAAAACATTTTCATGAGCATTTTCATAATCTAAGGAGACTAAGGACTAGCATATAGACAACTAGCTGGCTTACCCGGCTCCGCCGTATCCGGACCAAACTTGGCACACATACACTTCGGGCCCCGGCGGGTGTCACAGTCCACTTTTCGTTATCGATCGATGTCGATTTTACCGATTTTTATCGATTTTTTTGCAGAGTTCACCTACAGGGCTAGGAGTTGGCACAGGGGGGGGGGGGGGAAGTGAGCATGGGGATTCCGAATACAATATTAGTTTTCAGAATTATCGATTACTTTTATTGATTTTATCGGTTTTTTGTAAATTTTGACATGCGAGGCTGGGATTTTGCACAGGGGGGTAATCGAGCATGCTGATTACGAACACAATATTAGTTTTCAGGATCGTCCATTACTTTTATCGATTTTATCGATTTTTTTGTAAAGTTTGACCTGCGGGGCTGGGAGTTTGCACAGGGAGTAATCGAGCATGCAGATTACGAATACAATATTAGTTTTCAAGATCGTCCATTACTTTTATCGATTTTATCGATTTTTTGAAAATTTGAGCTAGGGGGCTGGAATTTGGCACAGGGGTGTAATCGAGCATGCAGATTACGAATACAATATTAGTTTTCAAGATCGTCCATTACTTTTATCGATTTTATCCATTTTTTGAAAATTTGAGCTAGGGGGCTGGAATTTGGCACAGGGGTGTAATCGAGCATGCTGATCACCCCCCTTGGGGATTATCAGCATGCTCGATTACCCCCCTGTGCCAACTCCCAGCCCCCTAGCTCAAACTTTGCAAAAAATCGATAAAATCGATAAAAGTAATCGATAATCCCGAAAACCAATATTGTATTCGGAATCCCCATGCTCGATTACCCCCCTGTATGAACTCCCAGCCCCGTAGCTCAAACTTTGCAAAAAAATCGATAAAATCGATAAAAGTAATCGATAATCCTGAAAACCAATATTGTATTCGGAATCCCCATGCTCGATTACCCCCCTGTGCCAACTCCCAGCCCCGTGGGTGAACTCTGCAAAAAAATCGATAAAATCGATATCGATCGATGACGAAAAGTAGCCTATGACACCCGCCGGGGACCGAAGTGTATGTGTGCCAAGTTTGGTCCGGATCGGTTCAGAAATGGAATTTTCTATTCGGAACATACGTACACACATACATACATACATACATACATACAGACAAACAGACATTCAGCTTTATATATAAGATGTGGCAACTCAGGCGAAAATATCAATTTTTCTACACATTCATTTGGAAGCGGAAGAACAGTTGAACTGGACACAAATACTAATTTTTTAATCGTATTTTTTAACGTGAAGTTTGGAGATGAGCGGCTTAGTGGCATAAAGCACTGTCACTGCTATGATACAACCTTTGATTAAACTAATTTGGCTCTGGGAGGCGGAGCTTTGTGACCTAACTGAGGCCGCTCCGCCCGCGACCAGTCTGCGTCTCTCTCGTGCGCGTGCTCTTTGATCATTATCTAGCCCCAACTAAGTCACGAAGCCCCGCCTTCCACGCGCCAAGCCAATTGAAACAAAGAGCGTGTATTCTGCACAGTTAGGCTAGCAATCCGCCTAAAGGTTTCCCTGACCATTCTGCAAGGCGGGTGTGAACACGTTTGAATATCTTTCATCAATAGAGTTCGGCCCGCGCGACATGTATGGCCGCCTCTGTCTGGGACTGACTTTTAGCCTCTGAAAGCGGTAAATGGTGGAAAGATATTCTGAGAGGGTTGAAGCAGCAATTTGTAATTTTTAGCCTCAATCACTTTCTATTCAGTTATTTTCATTATCATTCTTTACTTTATGCTGCACATTTTCACCCTACATATTCGTCATAGGAAACGAATATCCATAATAAATGATATATGGTTGACATCCCCGGGCCAGGGTCCTGAATTCAATGCTGCTGGAGCCTCGTGTGTTAGAATAGACTATCTTGTGACGTCTGGATCACCGCATCCTATAGAAATGAGCTTTACTACTTGTGGTTATGTAATCATGGAAAAATGCTTACAAGGGAATGACCAATTCAAACAACCTGCATACCATTAAATGCAGCCTAAAATGCGGGCTTCGAATCTGTATTTCATATCTGCTTAGCGCTTACGTGGGCGAAGCAATATAAAAGCCGCTATTTTGCTTAAGAAATCATGCATGCAAAGTGCAAATATGGCAGTGCAGAGGTATGTTTGGCTTAATGCTGCGCCAAAACATGTGTCAGGTTGCTTCATATCCTTGAGGCCTTATGTGAGCTGAAAGTGCATCGTTGTACTTAATTTCCCAATTTTTATGCACGGTTTTTTTTGTTGTAATAGAACTGTTTATGACTTTGTCCACAAAGGCGCTGAGCAGATAGAGAGTAAGGATTTGAAGTCAGCGCAATGTTCCATCAAATGGTAGGCAGCTTGTTTGGATTGACCACTTCGGCTCCCGCCAGAGTGCCGAAGTTATGCCAGCGCTACGCCAGCATTTCGATCGATACACGTGTATTTCGTTGGGGACGTCAGCTAGCCCCGCCCCAACGAAATACACGTGTATCGATCGAAATGCTGGCGTAGCGCTGGCATAACTTCGGCACTCTGGCGGGAGCCTTCGACTTCCCATTGGGTAGAGGGCATTAGGTCGCCGAAAGGGGCGGTCATGCGCGGACATTTGCAAGAAACCTCGTGCCTCACCATCACTGCCTCATACTAGCTGTGTCTGTGGGTGGAGCCTATTGGGGACATAATATCATCCACCCCTGACCATTCCCTTGTTAGTTAAAAAGACGATAAGCTTTTATTTTCCTGAATGTTGGTAAACAAAGCAATACATCGATGTAAACAAGTACCCAATACATCACCGCGAAAAGATGCCTAAAAACGTCGGTGTCGAAAATGTATGTGAGAGTTTCAGCTCAATCAGTACACACACAACGCCGTGGAAATATTGGAAATATTTCGATGACGCGCGATGCTTTCTCGAAAATCGTATTTTCAACGACTGCTTGTACCTTCTGTAAGCAGCGTGTCATTTTCGGGTGCACAAAGCGGAAAAGTATCGTCGTCTCCCCGGTGTACGTTGGGCGGAGCGTTTGCGGACATTTGAACACGTTGGCGATTTGTTAAACCTCTACTGCTAAGCATGGTTCTTTGTACTCTCTAAACTGCCACGTATATATGAGGTTGTCATACGTGGCAGAGTTGGTAGCGAGAGATCACAAAAAACAATATCTTGCAGTAGAGGGTTGACAAGTTCACCAACATGTTCAGATGTCTGCAAAGCTCCGCCCAACGTACACCAGGGAAACGACGATACCCGTTGTGGTGTTTGGTAAGATGTACTCTGACTGGACATGAATGGAAAAGTACCCTAATTTCACGCGTATAAGGGAATTCGGAATTTGACCAGCCCAAACAAGCCAAAGGACTTCGCAAGCAAAGGACACCATAACGTGCTGAATATTGCTCAGGAGAATCATGCGGTACAAGGATCTCTTTCCGAGCTATAGTAACCGGCTAAGCGGCTCGCTTGAAAAAACGAAAAATGTGCACCTTGTACGCGAAGATTAGTGTAAATGAATTTCTAATTCCGATGGCATCGTACGAATATTCCTGGATTGCAGCGACATAGTTTGAAAGAATTTTAATCGCCCTAGCGTAAAGTTACTTCATTTGAAATCAAACACTAAGGCACCGTCCACCCTAAGTGAAGCGGTGTTGAGCTTTTGACATCATATGATAGTAGGCCCCTATTACGCAATGCTCAAGTCGCGGCAGCTGAAAGCGAGAAAATCGCTTCGGATTAACGAAGAGAGCAGAGGACTTCTATACGGCACCACCCCCCTCCCATCCGTGCCTGCCTGACCACCACCGTCACGGGAACGGCCCGTAGCGCCGGAACAGAGATAAACGAGGTTTTAGCGGATTCTCGACTTCATGTTCAAAATATCAGGGACATGAGAAGGCCCCTCAACGGCAACCAGGAAGTCGTGCACTTAGGTGGACGATGCCCTCAGTGCGTGCAAATTTTAGGCTTAGAATTTCAGTACTCGTATAATCATCACGAAGTTTGGTGTGTTCCTGAAAAATGACTGTCTAATTTGCGATGTGAACACCCAAGTTCCTCATGAACATTGCAGTCAAGCAAGAGAATTCATACAAGCTTCTTTTCATCTTCTCTTTCATCTCCGGGTTCGATTTTTATATAAGTAACTTTTCAAACGCAGAAAAAACAGTTTCAGTGTTCTTGCAGCTATTGCAGATGAAATACTTACTGCTGTCATAGCAGTTTCTTTAACAGTCACCTTTTTGGATCTCTGTAAAAATTGGTAACATTAGGGCTATGCCTAATGGAAGCGAAAGATTAGTTGCGTTTATTGATGCAATTTTACATCAATTGCGAAACATCGGGCCAGAACAACTTTCACGCATGTTTCTTCATCTCTCGACGATGTCGTGCAACTGGAGCCAATGGGCCTGGCGGATGCGGTCCTTGCGGAATTTGTGGGGGGCCAATGTTGTTAGGTGGTCCGGGAAGCTGGTTTATCGGACGTTGTGGAACTTGATTACCCGGACGTGGTTGTGGGACCTGGTTAGCGAGTTGTAACAATGCATCAACGGGAAAAGGAAGTTGGCCGGGTGGCAAGTTCCATATTGGAGCACGTGAAGGGTGGGGAGAACGATGTCTGATTTCAGCATGCACGAAGACAAGTAATAATGCCTAAAATATTTTAAAGTAAATTCTTGTTTGATAAATAATGTTATCACTGCACCGCAAGGATTGATTTCCAAAGCACCATATCGCTGTTGAGAACGATCGTTTGTTTTTCTAAAACGAGAATACTGTATTCAACGCAGGTTGGATTAAGAAGGGTATAAAGTCAGTGTCAAGTCGCATGCTCCCTTTTCCGCAAGCGCAATCGTCACGCGAGTGCTTCGCGCGCGTATGGTTTGAAGTGGCTTTATCGACCGGAAGTACGCATGCGCAACGCAAGGGCCTCGCGCTGCGCATGCGCACTTCTTACGCGAAAGGGAGTACGTGATTGGCACATACTGTATACGTTGAGAACAGCACTAGAGTAGCTTGCAAATGAAATACGCTGAATACTTTCCGAAACGGCTTATATAATATATATGGAAAGAACTTATCGATTGATTGGACGGCAAATCTTTTTAAATGCTATTAAATAAAGCTATCACATTGGCTTAGAGGTTTTTTAAAGCCAAATCGTTTCTATGCATTGTCAAATATAATGCTACATTGTATGCACGTCCTTCTTCTTTCACAAGGTTATATTGGCATGACATTTGATTTTTAGATAATATGATGCTTTCAAGATAGTCGCTATTTGATTTTCTTCACAATGCGAGCAAGATGCAACAACTGATGCAGCATAGAACCCTAACTTCAGATCTGTCATCCATATCTGCAGAACGCCTTTGTAGGCGAAGTATGAGCAGCTTTACTGCGAAAAAATTGTACACAAAAATTGCAAGATTATGCACATTGTTGCCCTTTTAGCTCGCCTCTGCATACAGGCCATATAAAGTGACCTAGTTGCATGTCTTGGTCCAGCACTGAGCCGACAATAGCTCTGTACAACCAAGTTTGCCTTTTACGCACACGATTTCTTGGCAAAATAATGGTCTTCAATGGCTTATAACTTCATATACAAGTGTTCTCAGATAAGGAAGACAGATTTAGAGTCAGCATTTTATGCTGAACCTAGTGATATGCAGCTTGCTTGAACTGGTCACTTCGATTTCTGAACCATTCCCTTGTAAGCAAAGCAGGGGGGGGGGGGGGAGAATTGCGGCGTGCGTGACGTGTTAACACGAGTCAAAATCAGGGCGGCGCTAAAGACCGTCTGTGAAAAGACCGTCTCCTGTCAAAGGAACCATTCATTTAAGTAGGAGATTCTTGAGATTTTGATGCTATACATGTAGTAGCGGGGCCTCAACTAAGCAAACCTAAAGTTTAGGTGCAAATGAAATGCGAAGCGAAAAGAGCGCTCCAGAAGATGGAAGCGGCGCAGATGGCTTCGCTTATCAACGTGGGTGGCCTGAAAATAACAAGCCCAAACTTGAACTCCAATGGAGTAAAATGTCGCGAATTTAGTAGTCATGATAGAAGGCCAGTTTACGACAATTCTGGATATATTGAAGCTCGATGTTGGACTTGTTATCTGCAGATTACCTACATCAGTGGGCAAAGCCACCTAAGCCTTTTTGCTTTCTGGAGCATCTTTTTCGCTTTGGAATTCACCTTTGCAATGAAACCGAGGCGATTGCTAAGTCAGAGGCTCCGCTTTTATATAACCTTAGGGTCTCATCAATCTCTATTTGGCGAACGTTTCTTGCCCGCTGTGAAAAATTTCTAGGAGACCTTTCCACTTTGAGTGCTCCAAAATTCTCAACGTTTGAATCTGCTAAAACCTTACACAGAGGCTTGACATCTTCATATGCTGATTACGAGATCTATGCTGTAAACTGACGCGCTTATTCACTGTGTGTGTTTGTCACGGAAATCAGTAAGGAATAAATTACAGTTTCCGAAAGCAGAAGGTTTCAGAAAAAAGAGAGGTTTTTTCTTTGAGAACCATTGCTTCGAGGACCTCGGCAGCACGAGCCTCTGTGATGCAGAAGTGATGATGCACTGCTCTCCTAAAGTAACTCACCAAGAGGCGTTTTGAACTTCAATAACTGCTTGTATATACAAGCATGTCATTTTAAAGGTAAGCAGAGCGTAAAAATACGCGTTGTGGTGTTTGTTTATGACATAACCTCAATGAACGTGACGTAAAAAGCAATCAATGAACTTTTTCCAGTGGCATCGGTTCTTCCGCGACTACAGCAAGACATGCGCCGTCGCCGCTGCCTGCTGCCCTACCGTCAACTCACTTCAGTTGAAATTAGAACTTGACAAGTGAAAACTCCTAGTTAAGCGTCTACTCATCAATCGAAGTTTACTGTGTTTCTGAAAAATGCTACTGTTTGTCTGATTTGCAATGCAAACACCCAAGTTTCCCATCAACACTACAGTTGAGCTACTCGATTTTATGCAAACTACCCAGTCATCTTCTCTCCTCTCGTCTTTGGATTCAATTTCTACTTAAGTAACTTTCCAAATGCAAAAAAATTGGTTTCACATGTTCTTGCAAGTGTTGTAGGTGAATACTCTTTGTTGCTAATGTAGTCATTCTATCTTAATTATTTGGAGAGCTCTTTAAAAAATGGTAACATAGGGCTTAGTCTATGCTTAATGTCAGCGACAGATCAATTGTTTTTATTAATGCAATTTCACATTAACTGCACAACAGTTGCAGACATGTTTTTTTCATTTCTTGACGATGTCGTGAGTTTCCCGGTTATTGTGGAACTTGGTTACGACGATGTGGTCGGGGAGGCGGGGTAGGTCGGGGGTTACGACGATGTGGTCGGGGAGGCGGGGTGGGTCGGGTACGACGATGTGGTCGGGGAGGCGGGGTAGGTTGGGGACCTGGGACTCGATACACTCCACGGGGAGGTACTGGAGGTGGGGGACCATACACTCCACGGGGAGGTGCTGGAGGTGGTTGTCGATGGTGGCGATGGTGGTGACCCTGGGCTGGTGGTTGACCTTGGTTACCTGGGACGCCGTTTGCCAAGTTCCATATTGGTGCGTGTGAAGGGTAGCGATAAGGTTGATAGTCTTCAGCATGCACGAAGATAAGTAATAATGCCTGGAAGAGTCGCAAATCAAATTCTTGATTTCGTAAACCAAAAATGTTATCACTGCACCGCAAGGATTGATTCCCAAAGCATCATCATTGTTGAAAACAATCGCTTGTCAGCCTAAAACAAGAACTAATACTGTCTTTAATTAATACTGTTAATTATATGTTAATATTAATTCATTAATTAATACTTTCTTTACCGCAAACTTTAGTCAAAATGGGATGTATCGTTAATTCGTTGACCATGGACCGCTCAGACGCTGCGGGTCACGCGCGACGCGGCTGAATTGTCGCGAGAGCACCACTTGTACAATGGCGAATTTGTACTGGTGCAAGCGTTTTACCTCGCGGCGCGTGCTCCGCAGTGATGTCCAATCCGGTCAACGAATCAACTATACTTCCTGTTGAGAACACGAACAGAAGTAGCTTGCAAATGCGAAATGCGCGGCGAATATTTCCCGAGCGGGTTTATATGGGGAGAATTTATTGATTGATCAAACTAAAAAGCTCCAAAGTGCTATGTTGGATAAGGATATCACTTTTGCTAAAAGTTTCAGATTTTTTTAATGCTTTAAATAACAACGCTGTGTATTTTGTAGACGTTTTCTTCTCCTTCCATATTGATTATCTTATGTTTCGATTTGAAGATAATTTGATGTGCTTAAGATAGCCTTAATTAATTCTCTTGCTGCGATCGCAATTGTGCTGTTAAATGTTCGCGAAAGAGGTGTACAGTACAGGCGAGGCGGCCACGCGGGAGCGGAGATGCTGATGCACCTGACTCTGCGATTGATCAAGACTTGTACTTCATCTTTAGGCAGTGTCATGGCATGATCATGGTTCACTCAAAGGCAGTGTCCGGGCAAAAAGTCGATTTTGACATTTTGTGCTTACCCGGGCCTATTCGCTGAATCCAAAAATCCTAACTGGGGAGCGCAAAAACGACAGAAAAGGGCTGTAACGCAGGAGCGAAATCAGCAAGTGGGCGGAATCTTCTCCAATGTAAACTCACGCTCCCTCTGGAGCGATCTTCTCGGTTCCAATTTTAAGACGCGTTTGCACTTGGCCCTTGGCGATGTCAGGGCGTATAATGGGCTCGAGTCGGTTTCTTCAACAACTAAATGAGCACGATATCGAAATATCACGGTCGAATCCGACACAGATGTGAACAACAAACACTGTTGCAAAGTAAAATATTTACTTGCAAACTGATTTCGTTTCAAAATGATGAAACACAAAGGCACAAATGAAAGAAATTAAGGCACTATGAGATGACAAGATAATAAAAGGAAAAACAAGACGAGTGACCACTCTTGGTCAATGCAGGATATCACACTACTTAGCTCATGGCAGCCATAGCGTAGCGCAACCGTATGAGGTCAACCCCGCCCCCTCTCACTGCCTCATCCTTACTCTCTCGCAGCGTGTATCCTAGGGGCACGCTAGGATGCCTTAGCCAGGCTAGCTGCTTATCGATTCGATAAACAGCCAAACAAAGAAACTTGTGAACTATATGATATATGAAACATAGAAAAACACTAGTACTACACTACAAGGGGGTCCCCTGCAAAGAGCGCTTCCACTGCGCGACTAGTTTAGAGATGTTCCGGGCGAGATCGTACGGCGTTCCTATGCTGATGCAGCTGAGAGGCGAATTCAGGATGACGTCCGGCACTCTTCCCTCGATCGAGCATTCCAAAACGGTGTTTCCATGGGCGAGTTTTCCAGGACATTTCCAACTGACGTGTCTGGCATTCGTTGCAGATGATAAGGGTTTCCTGAAAAGAAAATTTATTAGTCTAATGCTACTCACAACCCCATCAATCTTCCCCTGTCCAGCTTTCTTGGGTCGTCCCCGTTTTCTACTAGTTTTCATGGGTAAATCGGGCGTTTTCGCAGTTTTCTTGGGTCTTCCCCGTTTCCTGCGCCCGGTTATCCCTACCACCGGAGTATCGTCGATTTCCGACGGTACTTTGACCAAATGGTCAAACTGTACTCGCCGGGGTTCCTCGTTCTCGCCAATCTGAGTGATCAGCGCCGAGTTGTCGCTGGCTTCAATCACCCGAAACGGTCCTGCCCAGTCCGTTACTAGTTTAGGGTGCTCAGACTGCCCTTTTTCAGCTGGCAGTTTCATATAAACGCGGTCTCCCGCTGCAAATTTTACTGACTTTGCTGTTTCCAGCTTCCGATCGTAATACTTTTTCATATTTTCGCGGTACTCCCGTGCATTTTCTACAATGCATTCGCGGGCGAGTTTTAACCCCGACAAGAGCTCCGTTTTGTAATTATCGTAGTCTACGATGTACGGAGATAGGTGTTCTGGTGGAATTACCGCGGACGGATACTTAGGGTCACTTCCGTACAGCAGAAAATGCGGGCTTTCCCCCGTTGCTCTGTGAGGTGACGCGTTGTAGGCGTAAACTACCGTGGGGAGCACTTTGTCCCATTCACTTGGTGTTACCGTCTTCTTCTTGAGCATTCTAACGATAGTTCCGTTTACCCTCTCCGTCACTCCATTTTCTCTCGGGCAGTATCCTTTGGTAAAACTTTGGGAAATCCCCATATAATCGCAGAGAACCGTCATTATACTGTTCTCAAATTCGCCACCGCGGTCTGAAAACACTGTTTCCGGCCAGCGTCCTGTCGCGCAAATCCAGTTGCTGAATAGGGCTTCAGCAACAGTTTCCGCCTTTTTGTCGGGTACCGGATACGCTCCAAGATATTTGGTGAAATGGTCTATGATAGTGACTATATACCGGTTTCCGCGGCTAGTCAAACCCATCTCTAAGATGTCGATCCCCACTATTTGAAAAGGTCTGGATACTTCAAAGGGTCGCAACGGTGGGACATTATCCTTTTTCCAGTTGGTCAGAAAGCATTTCTGGCAAGATCGGTACCACCGAAACAGGTCTGCTCGCATTCCAGGCCAAAATACCCTTTTCCTGAGCTGAAGGAACAATTTTCGCGGGTGAAAATGTCCTCCAAGGGCTCCTGCATGGGCTTCGTCAAACACGCTTTGGCGGCGTGATCGCGGCACTACTGGGACCAAAGACCCATCTTCCTTTATCAGGTGTAATTTTCCGTTCTCAATGGTAAAATCCACAGAACTAAGGGTTTTCTCGTGTCTTGGGAGTTTCACCTCCTCTTCGCGCTCGCTCTCTACTGCAGAAATCAAGGCTGCAAAATCGGAATCTTGGCGCAATTCCGACAACCATTCGTGCTCCTGAGCTGCACAAACTACTTTTTCACCTTCGGCGTACCCGTATTTAGCAAATACGTGTTCAGGGAGTCCCCTAGATAATGCGTCAGCAACGCAGTTAGCTGCTCCCTTCAGGTGTTCGATGGTCAGATCATAGCGCTGAACTTCCAGCGCCCATCTCAGCACCCTGGGAGACACATTGGTACGTTTAAAGAGCGATACAAGCGCTGCATGGTCCGTTTTTATTATGGTTTTGACCCCATAGATAAAATAATGGAACTTCTTTAACGCATAAACTACTGCCAGCGCTTCTTGATCAGTGACGTGATAATTCCTCTCCGCTTGCGTTAACGGCTTAGAAGCAAAAAATACGGGATGGAGCAATCCATCTTCGCCTTCCTGTGTCAAAACGGCGCCCAAACCTATACGACTTGCGTCGGTATAGATTATGAAAGGACGGCTTCCGTCTCTTGCTCTTTCGATATTTGGCTGCGCCAAAACCGGGGCTTCTGTTAAAACCTCCTTCAGTTTGCTAAAAGCTCTCTCATGCGCCGCCGTCCAACAGAAAGCATTCTTAGGACTGGTAAGCTCATAGAGAGGCTTCGAGATCTGCGCAAAATGTAACACAAATTTGCGATAGTATCCTGCCATACCCAGGAATGTCCGTAGTTGCGCTATGTTGGTTGGGCGCTCAAAATTTTGAATTCGCACCACTTTATCCGGGTCGGTTTTGACACCATCCTTATCCACTACATGCCCCAAAAATTCAATGCTAGGTTCCATAATCCGGCATTTTTGTGGCTTCATCTTAAGCTGAGCTTGTCTCAAAGCTTGGCACACTTTCCTCAGCACTTCGGCGTGGCGCTCTACGCTTTCGGTGGCGATTAGAATATCATCGATATACACCGAGACCTCGCGCCCTTTAACATCGCCCAATACTTGATCTATTAAGCGCTGGAATTTCGCAGGGGCGGTTGTGAGTCCAAAGGGTAGCACCCTAAACTGGAATTGGCCCGCGGTAGTGGTAAAAGCACTAATCTCTTTGGCGCGCTCTGTCAGCGGTACTTGCCAATACCCACTCGCTAGATCCAATGATGTGAACCAGCACATCCCCTGCAGATTTTGCAAGGTAACATCTATAGGTGGGAGTGGGTAACTATCCTTTTTCGTTACTTTGTTCACTTCCCTATAGTCCACGCAAAGACGGATAGTTCCATCCTTCTTTGCCACTAAGACTATTGGCGATGCCCATGGTGACTCACTATTCTCTATCACTCCCCTTTCCTTAAGCTCATCAAGCATTGTCTCAACCTCCGCACGGAGTCCATACGGTACCGGTCGAGTCTTCTGCCTGATGGGCGGATGGTCTCCCACTTCAATGTCATGTTCAACCAGATGGGTTTGAGTGAGCTCCAAATCAGAAATGGCAAAAACGTCATGATAGTCTTCCACTACCCTCCTAATCTCTATAGGCATAGGACCTGCTCTTCTATTGGCGTCAAGTAAACCAACCAGGTTACCTATCCTTTCCGCATCTTCTACCAATGTAGGCTGCTTCAATACTAGCATATCGCCAGGTAATTCACTTATCCTAGGATCTATCCATGAATCATGGGACCATGTACCTAACTGTTCCCCTTTTTGGATAACCCAAGGTTCACTTTCTCTATTCAACACTGATATTTCGGATTTGCTCTGCTCGACTGCGCACACACCCGATTCTATGCGGTCATGACGTGACCAGAACAGGCAGGGACCTGATTGAGATGATCCCTCGATCTGTACCGTGGCCACGCATCCCGGAGGTATAACTACTCTTGCTACAGCATGAACCTGTTGACAATCGGTGCTTCCTTTATTCGGTAATGTTGGAAAAGTTAGCGCAATACCAAGCTCCGATAAGGCATTAGTCCCCAAAAGTAGCGTTGTATCTTCGGTTTTCTGGACATGTAAGTGTACAGGAATGCTTCCATTCCCGTGTATACTAACCTTAGCTACTAGCTCCCCGAGAAAGCTCATGAGGTTTCCTGAAGCATCAACAAGTTTGCGCTGTTTAGAATCAACGACCCTCCTAGCCTGTGTGTTGAAATCCACCCCTTGCTGACGGGCCAGTTTCAAAAACCCCACAGGAACTATCGAAACTACCGAACCGGTATCTATCAAAGCCTTTGTGTTTATGCCAAACACTTCTACCTCGCAGAGACATGGTTCTCCTATAGCCTTGGGGCTCGCATCTACCTTGGCATGATTGGCTTGGACGGTCTTGCACCATCCCTCGACATCGTCGGCCAGGGTGATCCCCCCTACAGCACTGCTATGAGGTTGAATGCACCTCATACCCCTTCCCTGTGGAAATCGATTAGCTGTGCTTTGATTCCTCTTATCACATCTTGAAGAGATGTGGCCAACTTCGCCACAAGTAAAACATTTTACAGGGGCCTTATTAGTTGCACCACTAACAAGGGGTTTACTAGGACCCGCTGGGTATCTGGCTTCAACTTGCGGCTTCACATAGGCATTTACCCTCTTTGCCCGAACATTCGAGTCACTAGGGTGCCTCACCGCTCCATCTTGAAGCTTCTCCAGCCTCCTTGCTACCTTCTTGACTGCTTCGTAGACTTGCCCTTCAGGCGAGTCTAAAGCAGCAAGCATGTGGTAGGAGTCCTGCCAACTCTCCAAGCATGAATACAGCTTGGAGCCGCGAATGAAATCCCATTCGCAACTAGGATGGATTCTCCTAGAGAGATCCTCCATCCTGCAGCAGAAATCCACCACGGTTTCCCCATTCCGTTTTGAGAGTTGTTCCCACTCTCTTATATTCTTTAAACGGTCGCAGGGGTTTCTTCGCGCTTGCTTTAGGGCTTCTACTACACCCTTAAAGCTCCCTTCCCGCACGCTTTGTGGCAGGCTTTTAAACACTGCCTTAGCCGTGCCCTCCAGGTGGTTAACCAGGATATCCCTCCTATCCCGGTCCTGCCACACGCTTGCTGGGAATTTCACTTCCAGCGCCCGGAGGAAATCACTCAGGGAATTTTTACCCGTGTATCGTGGCACGCTGGCCACGCTTTGTGCTTTAAAAACTTCTTTAAACATAGTAAACATATCCCTAACCGGGTTCCCAGCACCTATCCCATCCCTAGATCCCATATCAATAATCGATAGGGACTCACTGATCGTTGATCCTTGGGAGGACATGGCCGACGATGGTCGCGACGACTTGGGTGAGGCTCGGGGTGGGTCGCAGTGTGGCCCAGCGGTCGCTTCTCGACGTACGCGGGATCCCTGAACACGATTGTTGACACTTTGTAATGTTCGGTAATTTTCCCGAACAGAATATGAAAGTTCACACTCACCCTCGACTAGGCTTGCCGAAGCTGTGGCTGGTGAATCCTGAGAGGGGCCGGAGAGTTCCTTTACACGTTCCTGTAATACTAATATTTGCGTCTGCAAATCTTCCTCTCTCCTTGCACTGTTCAAAGCCTCTAGCCTAATCTTAGATTGTGAGGCGGCCAATCTGTTTTCCAGATCGGCTATAGTTGCGGCCTTATCCTCAACTACGGCCTCTACCTCATCTATCTCACACCCCAGCCTAGCCCCTAACCTCACTACCATTTGGCTGTGGGAACTGGCCATGGGTATATACTCAAGCAATTCCTCGACGCTCATTTGGAATTTATCACAAAGAGCGGAGTGCGAGCTACCTGCATGGTCAAGTTCCCCTCCGAGGCTAACTTGCAACCTCTCGCGCAACGAAATCAATATCTGATCTCGCTTTACGCGCGAGAGGTGCCTAATTTGGCTGTCCAACACATCCCCCATAAAAGTCAAAATATCACCAAATTGACTATCACTCACTTCAAGTGAATTCCAATTGCTCAGCGCCTCTTGGCTGGCGGGGGTATGTGGTGGTGGCGTGGCGTGACCGCTTGCCGATTGCTCCATCAAAGAATCCATTCCGGAATTCTGCAACAACAAAAAAAATCAGTTGTGTGAGTTGTTCACCGGCTCGGCCCCCAAGTCGGTTTCTTCAACAACTAAATGAGCACGATATCGAAATATCACGGTCGAATCCGACACAGATGTGAACAACAAACACTGTTGCAAAGTAAAATATTTACTTGCAAACTGATTTCGTTTCAAAATGATGAAACACAAAGGCACAAATGAAAGAAATTAAGGCACTATGAGATGACAAGATAATAAAAGGAAAAACAAGACGAGTGACCACTCTTGGTCAATGCAGGATATCACACTACTTAGCTCATGGCAGCCATAGCGTAGCGCAACCGTATGAGGTCAACCCCGCCCCCTCTCACTGCCTCATCCTTACTCTCTCGCAGCGTGTATCCTAGGGGCACGCTAGGATGCCTTAGCCAGGCTAGCTGCTTATCGATTCGATAAACAGCCAAACAAAGAAACTTGTGAACTATATGATATATGAAACATAGAAAAACACTAGTACTACACTACACTCGAAAAGATCTCTTCGGAAAGTGAGAGCGTTAATCTGCAGTCCTTTTTCGCCGTTTTCGCCTTGTTGGGCACAAAATCTCAGCATCGACTTTTTGGTCGGACTGCCCTTAACAACCTGAGATCTAGTTCAAACTATGCGTGCAAAATGTGTCTTGCAAATGGGCGCTTGTGTGGGTATCACATGCCAACGTACGAGGCACATGAACATGCTTGGACAAGCATTGTGCGCAGAACGCTTTGTTGACCGGTTCGTATCTATACGAACGCCTCAAAAGCTCTTTATTCGCTTAAAGGCAATGTCCGGGCAAGATGGGGTTTTGGGATTTCAGTACCATGCGAGAGTGGCTCCCCTCAGACACAACATTGCACAAGTGTGACGTCATAAGGCTCGACCTAAAGCAAGAAAAACGACCGGAAAGTGGGAAAGCTTACGCCTTGGGGCAGGGTCCTCCGAGCTGTCCGAACTGCTGCTATGCGGCAGAGTACGCATGCCGTTAGTTACAGTCAAAATCGTGGGGTCCCGTAGCGACTCTGCGTCTCTGCCTTGGTGGGGACCGTCGATTTTCAAATTTTGCAGCTTTGGAAAACGTACGTTCTCGCCGTTTTCGCGCCTTCTAATGTGGATTTTCGGATTCAGCGTTGCGGATAACCCCCGATAAATGAAACTCGGGTAAAAACTCGGTTTCTAGAAATCGAATTTTTACCCGGACACTGCCTTTAACGCTGCAACCTTTAACATTCAAACTTTCAAGTGAGGCCACGATCTCAAATTATGAGACACCTACTATGCGGTGGACCTAATAAGTTTTGAAAGGTGAGCTTTACTCTACTTTCACAGCTCGCAATAGTTTCGGAACAATTTAGTGAGTGAGGCTCCAAAAATGCCTGCTTTGCTAAAATTTTGAACCTTTATCCAGCTCCTGCGATTGAGGGATGAGGGATCAGTGAATGCGCAGTCCAATGCTCAAAAAGTATTAATGTGTGATTGTCCCAGTTGCGAACCCATTCCCAAACTAGCTATAGGGGCAGCACACTTTTGAGGCAAAATTTGACGCAGTCCGCGAAGTTCTGTAATGGGGTAAATGCAACGTTTGTATAATAATATAGCCGTGCTAGAGTTTTTTCAAATTTCCGTAAGAGCTATTTTTGAAGTCAGGAGCTAGAAAGCAAGAGAAAGCATGTTTGCATAGTTGCTTGATCATTTTCATGAGCGCTTGATGGAAACAAAGTGCTCTACGTTTGATTTTCTTGAACAAGATACAAAATTCAGTAAATCATACAAAAATTCAAGTCTGCGATGTGATTACATCATTACAGGACTTTGCGAACGGTAGAAATTGAGTTAGGAGGCTCAAAAGTGGGCCAACAATGGTGTGTCTGAGAGTGGGCTGGCAACCGGGACGATATCAATTTTTTTGAGCGGTGGATCGCAAATTCACTGTCCCCTCATCTTCCAATCGTATGAGCTGAATGAAGGTTTAAAATTCCAATAAGCAGGCATTTTTGAGTCCGACTTTGTCCGCGGCTATTTCAAGCTATAAAATTAGAGTAATGTTCCCCTTTTCAAATTTTATCAGGTCCAGAGCGTAGTAGGCATCTCCGACTTTGAGATTGTAGCCTTACATGAAAGCTTGAATGTTAAAGATTGCAGCGTTAGAAAACAGAGCTTCGATTGAGGTTTTCATATTTATAAAGATGAACTGGTCAAAGAAGTGTTCGGCGCACAATGCTTGTGCAAGATTGACACCGATTTTTATTTTAATGGTGCGTATACTGTTTTCGGCTACCTTCTTTCAATGATGCCAAAGAGTTTTTGCATTTGTTTCAAGAAATTCGGAAAACGGCGAAATATGGGGTGCTTGTATGATTATGAACTGATCTTTATATGCAACACATATAAATGAAGTAGCAAATGTTCGTTAAGGCTTTTGGCCATACTTTGCCCGCGTTGCTGATGTTACCAGTGTTACCCGTGTTACTCATGTTACTCATGTTTCTAGCACTAACACTAACACTAGGTAACACTAGAAACATGAGTAACATGAGTAACACGAGTAACACTGGTAACATCGGCAACACGAGTAATACTGATAACATCGGCTACACGAGTAACACTGGTAACATTGGCAACGCGGGAAAGTATGGCCAAAGCCTAAAGAGCGTACATATGCAAATGGAAAAATCAAATGGTATAAGGAGGCATTTCAACAAAAATTGCGTTTTTATATCTTTGTGGATTTGATTTCTAATCAGTATTGCATTTACTATCCATAAAACATGATGATGGCAATCACGATAGCCTCGAATTTTTGGGATGAATAAATCGACTTTTTGAATTTCCCAGAAATTTTAATAGGTCTATACAGTTGTCTCAGAAGTATAGACTCCATTTCCTTTTTTTTTGAGGATGATGAGGCTATAACCTTGGAAAACCTATGAGATTCTACAAAACTGTTCCGAAAAATGTGCCAACGTCATCAAAATCGTTGCGCTTCGCTTCCCAAGAAAAGTCTTGCGACCCGATAAACACTTACTAATTATGAGCATATCGCAGACCAAAACGTGACCGTCACAAACATTTGCGTGCATAGTTGCTGTTCCTTGATATTATGGTATGGAATCGCCGACTGCAGAGATTTACGGAGCTTCCAGACCGCGCAGGTAGCGTTTTTACAGCCCTTAGCCGCTTTCGCGCTTGTTGCCGCTATTGCAGCCGAAGCGCAGCGGGTCAGACTATTGTCACCTGGCGAGTGTGCGGTGAACATAAATTTATCGAATTTTGTGTGTATTTTCCATTTGTTTCCCAATTTGTCTGTTACAGGCTGGTTTTGAGGTGCAAGTCTTTGGGTAGTGCTCAGACTCAAGTTCGCGCTTTTTTGCAGGCGGTCAGCAGAACTTTGGGGCATGGACAAATCTTCAGCAGGCGGTACTTACTTTACTGTCTCATGTTCTGCCAGCGGGGAGCATACAGAGCTTTCTGCGGGCGAAAAATTTCTTTCAGCGAGCGCTAGCCATAGATCCAACGAGCGCTCGGACTCTTTTTACGCAGTTTCGGGCGTACGCCAAGTAAAGGTAAGACTCTATTTCAGAGGCGTCATCGACACTTTTTCTCAGCGGAAGGTACCTGTGGGCTGTGCGGTCCTTCACAAAGGATCGTGCGGCCCTCGAAAATTTTGAATATTCTTGCGGAAAGTCCGCGAGAATGCGGCCACTGCGCCGCCACTAATCTATGAAAAGCAGCGATTGTTCTCCGAGCATTCGTCCAAAAATCCTCCAACATTCTTCTAAAATCTGCAAGCAGAACGCAAGAAATCATCGACTACCTTTTCAGTGCCCGCTTGCCCAGAAATCGCATGGCCGCTTACCCCGGCGATTATTGAGTGGTTGCGCGAAGACTTGAAAGATCGTCATTGAGGACAGATGCGCTAACGATCGTCTATATTCAACTGGTATTTACAAAGCGACCTGTTCATTGCTTTTTTCTAGGCTTTACCAATCTCAAGATTTGTGCTTTTTGTGAATTGTGCGGTTTGGAAAGCTGCATGCGATGTTGAAGACCGTTTGTGCAAATCCATGCTCTGCTCCATAGACGCAAGCATGGAAATCCGCGTCACTCATAATATACATGGAACTTGACCGTAAAACATGCTTCTCGTGGTGTTGCTACATCCTTGCGTTCGTGTGTCATCATGGATTTGCACAGTTCTTCACTAGCATATCCACTTTTCAAACGCACCACTCACTTGAGCTAAATTGAAAAAAAAAACGCAATGAACAAACATTTTATAAATTCCGGCTGAATGTAGACAAGACTTAGCCCTTCTGTCCTCAACCGCAATATATCAAGTCTTGGAGCAATTACTACCCAAAGACTTGTACCTCAAAATCAGCCTATGACAGACAAATTAAGAAGCAGGTAAAAAGCAGAAAATTCGATCAATGAGTTTCGGCGCCGCACGTGCTTAAGGGAGACAGTGACCTGAGCATCTGCGCTCCAGCTGCAATAGCGGCAACCGGCGCAGTCTGGAAGCTCCCCTAAAAGAGGAGGATCCCAAACAAATTGCACTGCTCCTTCGATATGCAAACCACATCGACTGTATGCTAAAATCATGACTGCCTCTTGTGTGCAGAACGACATTAGGTAACAAAATATGGAGATTCGAAATCCTAGTTGAGAGGACACGGAGAAAAATTTGACCCTGATGGCACTGTTGAAGCAGCTATGGATTTTAAGTGGTCCGGTCTCTGAAGTGCGAGGAGTGATAAAATTTCTGATGTGTATAATTTCAGGGTATAATCTGTATATTCAAATGTAAGTTTATGTAATTGATTCGACTGTGTTGTACATAGAAATTAATACTTTTTTTGCATTACTTTGCTTTCTATCTAGATTTGTGGGTTTAATCATATTCATGAATTCTGGATTTTCAATTTTTTGCTAGCTTTATGTTTGCAATGATTATATGTCCTTGGTGTTAACCGAAAAATATCCCATGCAAGATTTCTAGCAATCAAGGCTCAGCGGAAGTGGTGCTCTCGCACGCTTAATGTCGCTTTTTGTGCTGGAAGCAGTAGGGAACCTGTAAAGTTTCCAGGGATAACTCCCGGAAATTTGACGCGATATAAGCCAGCACAACTCTGACTCTAAAAAGTAGGCTTAAATGTGAGACTTCCCACATTTAACCAATAGCAGGTCACATACGTCAATCGGGGGGCGGGCGTTAGGTACCCAGCCGGGGTGCGGGCGTTAGGTACCCAGCCATTTGTGGTATACACTAAGCCCCGCCCCTTTGTTACTTTGGCAGCGGGTACCTAACGATACTCCAAATCCTAGCTGCTAGAACAGCTCACCTAGCTTGCAAAAGCGCTGGCGCTTGGGCACAAATGAGACAGTTTGAGAAAACCAAAAAAAATGTGCGAATAAAAACGGAAGTTTGTACACAGCCTTCTTTCTATTGTATTTTTTTTGATATTTTAAAACCACAGAAATTCGATGATGAAAGTAAAGAACAAGGTGAGGCTTGTATGAGCAATTTATTAGGCTGTCCCATAAGTCTTTTCATACCTGAATTTTCAGCGGCATAAATCAGTTATTCTTGAACTGCTGATAAAATGCGGGGTACCGTTCGACAGATCAAAGTAAGCTCTACAAGATGGCGTTCAAAAGTTCGCAGCAAGCTCAATCCGCAACAAGTTCCAAGCCAAAATAAAAAATTTTCCGAGTTTCCGAAAAAACGGAAATCATCATATCTCAGTTCAAAACAGCTCTGCAAATTTCCCACTTTTTCATGCATATACTCTCTTCATCGGATATCTATACATGCGCTTGCTGCATTTTTCTGATGGCTAAAACCAAGAAAAAAATAATGCGCTCAATTTTCAAACTTTGCCTGTATCACTTCTGTCTACCCCGCAAATGGTTGATTATATAGCTTATTCACTCAGAATTACTGTTAAAAATTTGCAGCCTGTCAGGTGCTGTAGTTCTTGAGAAAAATCGAATTGAAGGTCCGAATATGAAAAGACTTATGGGACAACCTAATACATTATTTTGCAAAAGAAATCGTGATAAGATCCAGCTGGTCAGCGGAAGTTTCAAAGAAGTAAACTTTGTAGAAATCCAGTTGACCAAATTCTTATGCTTTTGACGAAATAAAGCGCTCTTTCAGAGATGCTCTTGGCAAATTAATTGCACTGAAATTTCCTTTGTTCCAAAATCTGCTTCAGATATATTTTTGATAATGAGAAGTGAAAACGATTGAAGAGCTTCGACGAGAGCTTATCATCACGAATCTAGTTAGATAATTTGATCATATTTTGGCTGCTAAAAAAGAGAATAAAATTTCGAACATTTGCAGTATGAAAGTACTCCAAAAAAGCATACGGAGAACATAGGCATGATAAAATACAGTAACTCAATGGAAATTTCATAAGGGATGTGAAATCTTCCGAAATAAAGAAAAATGTCTGCTCATCAATGTAATGTCCCATAAATCTGCTGACCTAGTAATGACCGAATTGATAGCTTTGACAATCTAGTTCACAACCCCTGTAGCAATATTAGCGCAAAAGGGTTACGACCCTTAACTTCACACCTCAAGACGAGGCCAACGACAATATGCGTATAAATAGCAGGAAGAGGTTGATTTCCACACCAATAATGTCAATTCAGACTTCGTATACTAAAGTGTATGGGCGCACAGCCACATACTATTCTTTTGATTATACCCCTAATCAACTTTCCGAAATCTTATATATATGGAGAGAACTTATTGATTGATTGGGCAAATCTTTTGAGTGCTTTCAAATAAAGCTATCACTTTGGCTTAGAGTTTTTTTAATGTCAAATAGTTCCTATGCGTTTTCAAATATAATGCTGCATAATGTATAAACGTTTTTCTTCTTCCTTTCACAAGGTTATCTTGGCATGACATTTGCTTTAAAGGCAGTACATCGGCAGAATGAGACCAGTGACAGAACAAGGTCACAGGGTAGGAGCCCCCATATGGAACCTATCGGCCAAAGTCCGATCTTTCTCTGCCACTTCTAACCCCCGAAATTCCAACGCGGAAGCAGCGCTCATCTCCTGTCCTCTCCGAACCCGCCCACCCCATGGACGAGTGAACTCCACGGTCAGAGCGCCAGCCGCAATGCTATAAGCATGAGGTCCCGCAACGACTCTGCGTCTTCGCCATGGCGGGCTTCGCGGTCACTCGTCCATGGGGTGGGCGGGTTCGGAGAGGAGAGGAGATGAGCGCTGCTTTCGCTTTAAAATTTGGTGGGTTAGAAGAGGCAGAGAAAGATCGGACTTTGGCCGATAGGTTCCATATGGGGGCTCTACCCTGTGACCTTGTTTTGTCACGGGTCTCATTCTGCCGATGTACTGCCTTTAAAGATGATATGATGCTTTCAAAATAGTTTTTAATTGATTCTCTTACAAAATCAAGCTGCATACCTTTCGATGCAGCATAGAACGCTGATTTCACATCTGTCTTCCATATCTGCAGAACACCTTTGTGGGCGAAGCTAGAGCAGCTTTACTGCGAAAAATACACAAGAATTGCAAAATTAGGCAGATTATTGCCCTTCTAGCTCACCTCTAGATACGGGCCATATGGAGTGGCTTAGTTGCATGTCTTGATCCAGCACTGAGCCGACAATGGCCCTGTACAACCAAGTTTGCCTTTTACGCACACGGTTTCTTAACAAAATAATGGTCTTCAACGGCTTACAACTTCATCTACAAAAGTGTTCAGCAGATAAGGAAGACAGGTTTAGAGTTAGCGTTTTATGCTCCATTTAATGATAGCAGCTTGCTTGAACTGGCCACTTCGATTTCTGACTATTCCCTTGTAAACAAAGCAGGGGGGGGAGGGCGTCAAATTCAGGGTGGCGCTAGGGACCGTCTGCGAAAAGACCGTCATCCGTCAAAGGTACCACTCACTCAAGTTGAGGTTGCTGAGGTTTTGATGCCATTTATGTAGCAGCGGGGCATCAACTAAGCAAACTCAAAGTTTAGGTGCAAAAATGAAATGCGAAGCGAAAAGAGCGTCTAGAAGATAGAAGCGGCTCAGATGGCTCCGCCCATCAACGTGGGTGGCCTAGAAATAACAAGTCCAAACTTAGACTTCAAGGTAGAGGAAAATGTCGCGCATTTGGTAGTCATGATAGAAGGCCAATTTACGACAATTCTGGATATGTTGAAGCTCGATGTTGAACTTGTTATCTGCAGACCACCCACGTCGGTGGGCAAAGCCGCCTAAGCCTTTTTGCTTTCTGGAGCAACTTTTTCGCTTTGGAATTCACCTTTGCAATGAAACCGAGGCGATTGCTAAGTCAGAGGCTCCGCTTTCATATAACCTTAGGGTCTCATCAATCTCTATTTGGCGCTCAACGTTTGAATGTGCTGAAACTTACACAGAGGCTTGGTATCTTCATGTGCTGATTACGAAAAGCTATTCTGTAAATTGACGCGCTTATTTATCTCTGTCGTGTTTGTCACGAAAATCAGTGAGGAGTAAATTACAATTTCCGAAAGCATAAAAGGGTTGCAAAAAAAGAGAGGTTTTTTTCCCATTTGAGAACCATTGCTTAGAGGACCTCGGCCGCACGAGCCTCTATGATGCAGAGGTGACGCACTGTTGTTCTGAAGTAACCCATCAAGGAAACGTTTCAAACTTCAACAACTGCTTGTATATATGCCAGCATGTCATTTTGGGGCGAGAAAAGCGGAAAGGTACACATTGTGACTTTATATAAGTTATCTCTGCTTCGCAGAGGTTCGCACTGGCCATCATGAACTGTTGTAAACTCACTCTCTGAGAGCTTGTCTCTCAAATCATTGTTCGGGTGACTGCAACGTGAGAGCCATAGTTAAAAGTGAACCATACTCGCTATGTGAACCTCACATGATGTTTAGTACCGTAAATAATTCCTCACTATAATTTCGTAACCCGAGAAATAACCGGCTTATTATAAGCCATGATACTCTCAATAAATGTGAACGGGGAAAGCAATTAACGAAATTTTTCACTGCAATGGCATCGGTTTTCTTGTGCAGCTGCAGCGGAGTACGCGTCGCGAGCCGATGCCTGCGGCGTACCTTTTGATTCAAGTGGATTGGCGGGTGGAAGGTTAGGCTTCGTAACCTAGTTAAAATTAGAGAATGATCAGAGAGCACGAGCGCGGAAGAGAGCCTGCGTCGTGGGCGCGAGCGGCCTCATTTAGCCGTCGCAAATCCCCACCTTACTACCGTCAATCCAGTTGAATCAAAGATTAGTTTGAAGAAATCTTCGTTGCCCTAGCGTAAACACACTTCAGTTGATATTAAACATTTGATAAGTGCCTAGTTAGGCGTATGCTCATCGAACGAAGCTTACTGTGTTTTTGAAAAATGATTACTATTTGTTTAATTCGCGATGTAAACATCCAAGTTTCTCATCAGCAGTACAGTTGAGCTAATTTCATGCAAACTACCCATTCATCTTCTCTCCTCTCGTCTTTGGATTTCTACATAAGTAACTTTCCAAATGCAAAAAATGGTTTCACATGTTCTTGCAAGTGTCTTAGGTGAATACTCTATGTCGTTGCTGTTGCTGCAGTCATTCAAACTTAATTATCTGGAGATCGCTTTGAAAAATGGTAACATAAGGCTTAATGTCAGCGACAGATCAATTGTGTTTATTAATGCAATTTCACATTAACTGCACAACAGTTGGGCCAGAACAACTCTCAGACATGTTTTTCATTTCTTGACGGTATCGTGAGTTTCCCGGTTAATGTGGAATTTGGTTACGACGATGTGGTCGAGGAGGCGGGGTAGGTCGGGGACCTGGGACTCGATACACTCCACGGGGAGGTACTGGAGGTGGGGGACCATACACTCCACGGGGAGGTACTGGAGGTGGGGGACCATACACTCCACGGAGAGGTGCTGGAGGTGGTTGTCGATGGTGGTGATGGCGGTGACCCTGGGCTGGTGGTTGACCCTGGGCTGGTGGATGACCCTGATTACCTGGGGCGCCGTTTACCAAGTTCCATATTGGTGCGTGTGAAGGGTAGCGATAAGGACGATAGTCTTCAGCATGCACGAAGACAAGTAATAATGCCTGGAAGAGTCGCAAATCAAATTTTCGATATCGTATACAAAAATGTTATCACTGCACCGCAAGGATTGATTTCCAGAGCACCATCGCTGTTAGGAACGATCGCTTGCTTTTCTAAAACGAAAATATTACTATCTTCAGCACAAACAGTGTTGAATCAAAAGGGATATATACCGTAAAAAACACCAATGGAGTAGCTTGCAAATGCGAAACATGCGTCGGATATTTTTAAGAGGGTTTATATAGGAAGGCTTATTGATTGACTAGACTGAAAAGCTCCAAAGTGTTAGATAACGATGTCACTTTGGCTAAAAGCTTTCGAATTTGCTAGTTTTCATGCAGTTCTAACTGTATATTTTATAGACGGTCTTCCTCTTTCTTCCATATATTGTCTTATCGTTCAATGGCCTTCAATCATTTCCCTGCGATCGCATTTGTGCTACTAAAAACATGTACTACTTACTTCATCTCTATGCAGTGTCATGCTATAATCATAGATCACTTGACAACATGAAATCTGCTTCCAACTGTGCCTGCGATATGTGTCTTAAGATTGGGCGCTTGAATTGGTATCACGTGCGAGGTTTTTATTTTAGGTAATATGACTTTCGGGAAAACTGAAAATTTCAGAAAATCGATGATTGGGAGTGTTTCTAGAAAGTGCGTGCACTTTTTACATACTTTTGAAATGTCGACCAAAAGCTTTTCATAAACAGTCCAATTTAAGGAGACTAAAGATTAGCATATAGACAATGTGGCAACTCCGGCGAAAATATCAATTTTTCCACACATTCATTTGGAAGCGGAAGAACAGTTGAGTTGGACACAAACACTAATTTTTTATCGTTTCTTTAACATGAAGCTTGGAGATGAGCGGCTTAGTGGCATAAGGCACTGTTATGACATAACCTTTGATTCAACTAACTTGGCGTCTGGGAGGCGGAGCTTTGTGACCTAATTAAGGCCGCTCACGCCCGCTAATAGTTGCGTCTCTCTCGCGCGCGTGCTCTCTGATCACTATCTAGCCTCAACTAGGTCACGAGGCCCCGTCTTCCACACGCCAAGCCAGTTGAATTAAAGGGCGTGTATTCGCGTTGTTAGGCTAGCTGATCCACCTAAAGGTTTTCCTGACCATTCTGCAAGGCGGGTGTGAGCTATGACTTCCGCCTTTATGACTTCGTCCACAAAGGCGCTAAGCAGATAGAGAGTAAGGATTCGAAGTCAGCGCAACGCTGCATCGAATGCTAGGCAGCTTGCTCGGATTGAGCACTTCGACTTCTGGCCATTGGGTAGAGGGCATTAGGTCGCCTAAAGAGGCGGTCCTGCGCGGACATTTGCAGCGAACCTCGCGCCTTCACCATCACTGCCTCACGCTAGCTGTGTCTGTGGGTGGAGCCTATCGGCGACCTAATATCATCCACCCCCGACCATTCCCTTGTCAGTTAAAAAGACGATAAGCTTTTATTTTCCTAGATGTTAGTAAACAAACCAATAAATTGATGTGAGTACCCAACACATCGCCGCGAAAAGATGCCTAAAAACGTCGGTATCGAAAATGTATGTGAGAGTTTCAGCTCAACCAGTACACACACAACGCCGTCTATAGTCATTACAATGACATGTGCCCAGACAGACACACAAATTTTCTGGTTTATTTATAGAGATTACACGACATCTGCTTACAGTACATCCATTTATATGTAACTAGCTGGCTTATCCGGCTCCGCCCGGCCCTGTTAAAATCGGTAAAGGTTCCATTTTTACCTCTGTACACCTTTACCTGTGCCCACTTCTACATGCAATTCCCTATTCCTCTGTGTGAGTAATCAGTATGCTCACCTACCTTCCTCACCAACTTCTCAGCCCCGTAGCTCGAACTTTGCCAAAAAACAATAAAATCGAAGTAAAGATACTTCTAAAAACTGATGGCGTTATTCGGCTGTCCGGCCCTGAAATGTTTTTGTAATGGGTCTTGCTCAAACTCGGTATATGATGATGAGCCACTGATGACGAATATGGTAGTCATTTCGCGTGGCAGCGGGTAAAAATCATGAACCTGCCTGAAACCTTGGCAGGGAATTACCTAAAGTGCTGTTTCAAGAATATCGTGCTTAAAGGCAGTGGCTCGGCAAATCTCAACCTAGTCAAATTTGCGCGTACCTGGGGTTTTTCAATACGCTGATCCCGAAAATCCACTTTTGAAAGCTAGAAAACGGCGAAAATGAGCGTTTTTAATGCCCCTCCCTTTGATATTGGACGAGTGGAGCAAGCCCGATGACGTTAAATCGTGGCAGGACCCAATGGTTATAGCGTTGCGGCGGGCAGCCTCCAGTGGCGAGAAAGAAACTGCCAACTCGTCCAGATGCGTGTAAGATTGGCCTGCGCGTGTAAGTTCGAGAGCGATTTTCTCGGCAGGGAAAGCATGCTGCGCAACCGGGATTGCACTGTTTTCATAGTTGGGCGATAAGGAACCTACCGCCTTAAAATCCCGAGTTTTGGATTTTGCCGATGCCTTTAATCCCACGATAATGGCTCGTGTGGTATGAAAGTTTCCCATGACCGTAATGCTTTCGTTATAGGACCACTGTCGCGCGCGATGCACCCTTCGGCGGCTTTTTAAGTAGAAACAGGGGAGGGAGATTTGCTGCGTTGAGACAAATTATCAGGGTGGCGCTGGAGACCGCCATGCAAAACAACCATTTCCCCATTTCGTGAATATTTGGGATCTAAATTGGCCAAAAGCGAAAAAATGTCCATTCAAACCCTGCAACTCACCATAACTTCACTAATGCGTTATGACAGCGAGCAAGCATCATATTCATAAGCAGTATACTTGTGAACCGTTACAGGTAAGATTTTGAGCAAATCTGGAACTCCGACCCATCTACACCCACCGTAAGCCAAGAAAATGTACTATCCTGCGAAATCAGCAGATATTCATGTTCAGCGTGCTAAATGACCACTCTTGACGAAGTTTAAAGCAAATATATGCTTCGATCCCATACCGTACAACCACCATAACTGTATAAAAAGGTCCCAATATGCAGAGAGAGTATGAAATTCGTAATCAGCATGTCGAATAAGTTTTCTGGACCGAACTCCAGCTGAATTCATGATATTTGACTTCCTACCGTACACCTATCGTAACCACACGGGAAGACGTTCTGCGGAGAAGTTGTGATATGTTTTCAACACGTAAGATAACCCTTATACACGAAATTTGAGCAAGCTCTACGACAAAAAAAATTTGGGGCCCGAATAGCCGAATAGCGCCAAACTATAATAATATTGTGTTCATAATCAGCATGCTCGACTACCCCCCTGTGCCAACTCCCAGCCCCGTAGCTCAAACTTTGCAAAAAAATCGATAAAATCGATAAAAGTAATCGATAGTTCTGAAAACTAATATTGTGTTCGGAATCCCCATGCTCAATTACCCCCCCTGTGCCAACTCCCAGCCCCGTAGGTGAACTTCGCAAAAAAATCGATAGAAATCGATAAAAGCGATATCGATCGATGACGAAAAGTGGACTGTGACACCCGCCGGGGCCCGAAGTGTATGTGTGCCAAGTTTGGTCAGGATCGGTTCAGGAATGGAATTTTCTACTCGGAACATACGTACATACAGATATACATACAGACATACATACAAACAGACATTCAGCTTTATATATGAGAATCTGATTGTCCATCTCGCGCTGTGTAGACATGCACGTTCTAAAGCAGTTGCGCACTGCACTGACTGTGATGCACTCGGCAGGTTAAACCTTTACTGACCAGACTCTCTACTTTCAACCTAGACAGGTCGGGTACAGGATCGAGAAAAAAAATATATGGCGGAAAATGAATGTAAATCAGATTCAAGAATTTTCAAGAAAGAAGTGCAGTTTGGCTCTGTTCCAAATAATCGAAGTGGACTTGCCATGGTGGCTGGCACTTTCCAGACTTCTAACGACGGTTTATGACGAAAGGCTGAGGACAAGTATTTGAACTCTCCGGCTGCTTGTGTCCTCTCTATAAAAGTTTCCTTAGGAATGAATTTAACATAAGGTTTCCGCTGGCGAAACATCATTACAGCAACCACGATAGGGTCAAACTTGTGAAGTGAATAAACCAACTTTTTGGATTCTGTAAAAGATTGCGTCAGGTCTATGTATGGTGCATCCCCCAAAATTGTTACCATATGAATTATAAACGTGGCTGTCTTTCGATCATTTTAACATGTCGACCTCGAATAAGCTCCTCAAAGGCTGCGTCCAGGCAGAACCTCGACTTCTCCTTTTTTGCCCTATCCAAACCTCTTCATGGCGCTGATTCCAAATACGGCACTCGAAGCGTAAATCCTCAAAAAACCCCATTTTTAAGACAATTTTGTAAGAAGCCTGGACGAGTGCTTCTACTGCAATCCTTGTCGAAAGCAAGAATTAGGTAGACACTGTGTGTTCCATCCTGTCTGCTACGAGAGTTCTCAAGTCTCGAGGACCACGCCCACTCCCTCGAACGGCCCGCCCCCTTGAGCGAACTCTCCTCAGCACTTGACAATTTTTATGTGGCAAACAGGATGGAACACATAATGTTTACCTGTTAATGCTGCTTTCGGCAAGAATTGCACTAGAAGCACTCGTCCAGACTTCTCACAAAATTGTCGCAAAAATGGGGTTTTTTGAGATTATACGCATTTCGAGCGCCATATTTGGAATCAGCGCCATGAAGAGACTTGGATATGGCAAAAAAGAAAAGTTGATATTCTGCCTGGACGCCGCCTTTCAAAGGCACCGTCCACCCAGATTCTCGACTTCCAAGTTTATGCCGTTTCAGGACCTTCTCATGTCCCTGATTCCGATCATGAAGTCGAGATTTCGCGAAAACCCCGATAATCCGCGTTCCGGAGAACCCACAGGTCGGTTTACCGGGATGGTGATTGGATGGGCGCGCACAAATGGACGGGCATGGATAGGGGTGCTCGTGTATCTTCGTCATTCTGGAACGATTTTCTCGCTTCCGAAGCGACATTTTGCGCCGCGACCCTGGGCATTGGTTTGATGGGTGCCCTACTATCATAGTCTGCCAAAAGCTCAAAACCCCCACTTTAGGGTGGACGGTGCCTTTAATGTTGCTGGAATTAACTTGTCAAAACGATGGAAAGGTAGCCACGTCGATGGTTCATACGGGAACAATACTGAGGGATGCACACATACTGCGACTGCGACA